GGAGGAAAATGAAGGAGTTGAGGAGTACCAGGAGGAGGAGGAGGAGGAGGAGGAGGAAGAGGAGGCCTGGGGTGCGGGGGCGCGGGCCGCCAGCGGGATAGGGCGTAACCACGAGGGTCGGGTATAGCCAGGACCCCAGTTAAGGAGTGCCCGTTAGTGACTGGGCCCCGAAGTCCGAACTATGGACTGAAAGCACGAAACCAGGTATGCCGCAGCTTGTGTTTTTCGGGTGACGGCGGTTCTGGTCAGTGGAATCATCACTAAATCAGCGGTTACTGGCCTCATAAGCAAGCCAGGTCCCGCGAAACCAAGCTCTGCCAGCGCCAGAGAGGAGCCGAAGGCGCGTGTTCCACCTCGGCCGACGTGCCCTTCTCTTCGCCCCGCCGTTGATCGCCCCTGCCATCATCGGCCACGGTCAGGAGGGGGCGGACAGGGGGTGGGAGGAGGGCTTCTTAGAAGCACCCCTGCTGCTTAGAAGACGCGGGCCTGGTCTAGAGCTGCAGGGCAGGTGCGTTCTAAGGAGCGGCCTCCTGCCCGCCGCCGCAAAAGGTGCACCTCTCTCGCCCCCCCTTCTTGCTTGCCCGCCTGCTCTCCCCTCGGCGTCGTGCAGCTTTGTCCAGAGCATCCGTAGCAGCCCCCCTGCGCCCCCTTCGCTCCGCTCGTCGTCCTCCTCCTGCTCCTCCTGCCCCTCCTCCTCCTCCTCCTTTTCCTCCTCCTCCTCCTCCTCCTCCTACTTCTCACACCCTCCTCCTCCCCTTCCTCCTCGTCGTCCTCCTCCTCCGTCCGCCCCTCCCCCTGCTCCTCCCCCATCTCCGAGATCGACCTGCCTGCCCCCCTCTGCGCGTGGCCGCCGTGATGAAGCAGCGCCCAGCTCGGGGCCTGCCCGCCGCAGCCGCGCGCGCGCGGCGCGCCGCCGCCGTCCCGCCCGAGCTGCCGCAGCGGAGCACCCCCGCCCCGCCGCGCCCTGTTGGGGGCGCTGGGCGGCCACAGGACGCGGCCGCGACCCGCTGGGGGACCCCGCCGCCAGTGGGCGCGCGCGTCGGCGCAGCTCCAGAGATTTACCCTTAAGTCGGGCCTGTCCCTCGAGAAGGAATCCGGTCCATGGGGGCCGACGCTGTGAGAAATCCACGACGTCGGGGGTCTGGGCTCGGGCCTGGCTGCAGTCCTCATCCTTCGCAGGACCCCCGCGCCTTGTCTCGGGCGGGGTTAGGATTAAGTCGGGCCTGTCCCTCTACAGGGGGAAGATTCAAAAGTAGTCAAAACATAGCCAGGGGACTATGTTTGGTTGGAGTATGTTTGGGCATCTGTTGAGTATTTCTTGGGGTATGTTTGATTCTTCGTCCAGAATCCCCCTGTAGGGGGGACAGGCCCGACCTGAATTGACCCCCGGATTGGACTGTCTTGTCGCCGAGGCCGCGGAGAGCGGGCACGAAGGCTCGTAGCGCAGCAGACATGCTGCGCCTGCTGGCGAAGTCGGCGGGAGAGCAACTCGAGAGAGTCGTCGTCGTCGTCGTCGTCGTCGTCGTCGTCGTCGTCGTCGTCGTCGTCGTCGTCGTCGTCGTCGTCGTCGTGTCCGTCTTCCGTCGTCCGTCGTCCGTCGTTCGTCGCCGTCCGTCGTCGTCGCCGTCGTCGTCGTCGTCGTCGTCGTCGTCGTCGTCGTCGTCGTCGTCGGTGCTCGGTGCCTGGTCGTCGGTCCTCGGTCCTCGGTCGGGCGGGAACTGTGCAGCTCCGAACTCCGCGCAGCATCGCGCAGGGCACGCGTCGTGTGCGTGAAGGCCGCTTGCTGGATCGTAGCCCTCACGCCGCTTCCGTCGGCTCCGCGCGGGAGTTGGCTTTAAAGTCGGGCATGTCCCTCTGCGGGATAAGTATTCATAAACAGGCAGACAACCGCCCGGGGCCCGGGGACGATTCGTTATGTTCTAGCATTTGTTATGTATTCCTTGTCTTTCGAATACACGCCCGACCTGAGAGTGGACCTTGGCTCCGCGCGGCCCTCGCGGGGGAGGGGGGGGCGGGGGCCAGGCCCGGGGCGCGCGGGGGCCGCGCACCGAGGGCAGCCCCTGCCTGGGGTCAAGTCGGGCCTGCCAGGGGCGCCCTCGGGGCAAGGCGAGGCGAGGCGAGGGCCGCGCCCCGACGGCGCATCGGCCGAATATAGCATGCTGAAGACACATCTGAGCACGTGCAGGAAGATGTGCGTGCAGACGCAGTGCCTCGGTGGGCATACGCCGGACCCGTCGTTCCGGGGCCTCGCGAGGGAGAGCCGCAGCTGCACACGAGGAGGGGGGAGCGGCCTACCAGGGGCGCCCTCGAGAGCGCGAAGTTCTTAGCGCTTCGCAGTCGGACTTCAGCGGACAGGACACGCGAGAGGACAAAAGACCCTTCCGAGGGCCACATTGCCACAGGAATGTATGGGTCGCGAGACACAAGACACAAGGGTACCCTGCATTTGGCAGGGTCGACCTACACCTACCAATCTGGGCCGACTGTGTTCTCCTCTGGGAGGCAACGCGAGAGCGCGAAGTTGTTCGCGCTTCGCGCAGCGCGAAACGCGAAGTTGGGAGCATTGCCTGGGAACTTCGACTTGCACCCGATGTTTGGCCACCCTCGCAGTCAGCGCCGAAGTCGCCCTTCATCTTGTCCACCACGAGGAGGAGGAGGAGGAGGAGGAGGAGGAGGAGGAGGGCATGCGGCGCGCCACCAGCGCCGCCCTGCCTTTGGGAGCGCCCGTGTCCTGAGGCGCGGGGCGAGAGTGCGGCCGCACGGGTGGGCTGTGGGTTCCCCAGCCGCGGTCACGCGAAGAGGGGAGAATGGGGATCACGCTGCATCTTCGGGGGACCTTCGCCAATCCCAACAAGTGTTTTCTTTTTTGTGCCCGACGCGGGCTCGATGCAGCCTCGACGCAGATTTGGCGTGTACTCGATGCGGGTTCGACACGGAATCGATACGGATCCCACAGGGCCGACACGGATTCGACACGGAATTGACGCGGACAGGGCCGCGACGGGACAGACAAGATCCCTTTGAGGATGCAACAGGAGGGGGAGGGGTGAAGTCTTTGTTGGAAACACCCCGGCTGCTTAGACCGTGGGCCCCATCTATGGATGTATTGCCGGCGCCTTCTCAGCAGCAGCCTCCTTTTAAGAAGGCTTCCCCCCTCCCCTAGCCTTGCGTCGGGCGTGTCCCTCTACAGGAGGAACATTCAAAAATAGTCAACACATGCTCTGAGGACGATGCTTCACCATCGTTGCGTACTTCTTGACTATGTTTTGGCTATTTGTTTATCTTTCGTCCAAGATGACTTCGGATTGCGATGTGGATTCTGATTTCTCAGCATGGAGACCTAGTCGCCTGCTGATTCCCACCGATTCGACTTCTCCCCACTCAGCTGCCGATCTCCGCCGATCCGATTCATTTCGATCGCCGATCCGACTTATCAATTCGATTCTGGGCTCTCCTGGATTGGGTGGTGCGGGGCTTGTGCAGCGGGAGCCGCGACAGAGCTATCGGTGCAGGGGATGTGTTTCGCGCTCCTGTTGGATCGCTATGTTCCTTCTCCTGCCTCGGGCGTTGCGTATAATGCGGGGGGGTAAAGAAAGGTGCACATTTCGAGTAGGGGATCGACTATAAAATAGATTTACCCCAGAGTTGAAATTCTCGTCGAATCCACGAGAAGCGTAGAATACTCGCGATCCCCTACTCGAACCTTTCGTGCACCCTCGGGCCCTGAAAGGGCCCCCATGGGGCCCCAAAGGTGCACGAAAGCCACTGATCGCCCCCCCATTATTAAGCAGCGCCCAGTTGCCGCTCCCCCCTCCCGCCCCCTCCCCCTCCCCCTCCTCCTCCGCCTCCTCCTTCTCCTCATCCTCCTCCTCCTCTTCCTTCTCCTCCTCCTCCTTCTCCTTCTCCTTCCTCCTCCTCCTCCTCCCTCCTCCTTCTCCTCCTCCTCCTCCTCCCTTCTCCCTCCTCCTCTTCCTCCTCCTCCTCCTCCTCTCCTCCTCCTCCTCCTCCTCCTCCTTCCCTGTCCCCCTCCTCCTCCTCCTCCTCCTCCTCCTCCTCCTCCTCCTCCTCCCTCCTGCTCCTCCTCCTCCTCCTCCTCCTCCTCCTCCTCCTTCTGTTCGATTCTCCTTCTCGGGTGCAAGGGCTGCCGAGCCACTGCACGCTGCAGAGTGAATCGTCTGTGGAAGGGCCAGCACACGACCACAAGGAGGCTCGAGGGCCCCTGGGCCACGACCCCCCCCCTGCTGCACGGTAGAGATAGCACCCGAGGTCTTTTGTTGATCATCATCATCATCAGCAGCATCATCAGCAGCAGCATCTACAGCAACAGCAACAGCAGCAGCAGCAATAGCAACAGCAGTGGCAGCATCAGTATCATCAGCATCACCGCCATCATCAAGCTTCACCAGCAGCCGCATCGCGGGCCTTTACAAGTATAATCACAAGTACCCTTACACTCAGCATCAGCATCATCACCATCGTCATCATGATCCATCAGCATCAGCATCAGCAGCACCAATAGCATCATCATCATCATCATCATCATCATCATCATCATCATCATCATCATCATCATCATCATCATCATCATCATTATCACCATCAGTACCTCCATCAGCATCATCATCAACAACAACATCTGCATCTTCATCGTTATCGTCAGCATCACCATCAGCATAATCATCGTCATCTCCATCGTCGCTTGCATCCTCATCATCAGCATCATCACCATCATCCATCATCATCACCACCATCAGTCTCATCCTCATCCTCATCCTCATCCTCATCTTCATTATCAGCAGCAGCAGCAACAGCATCAGCATCCTCGTCCCCACCCACCCTCATCCTCATCCTCATCGCACCCATCCTCACCCTCCTCCTTCTCCTCGCACTCATCCTCACCCTCCTCCTCGTCATGCTCATCACCCTCCTCAAGCGCCGAGCGTCGGAGGCGGCTGCAGGGCCGCCGCGCCGCCCGCCCCCCCATCCCCCTCCTCGAGGAGGGCGGCCGTATGCCTGGCCGGGCACCCGCGTGCCGCCCCCTCGCGGCGGGCCCGGGCCCAGGCGCGTGCGCCCCCGAGCCGGCGGGGTCATTGGGCCTCCCAGGCTTTGTGGGCCCCGGAAACGGCAGGGCCGTTTTTTCACCGTTTCCAAAAAAATGTCCCTTGAGAATCGAAACGGCAAAAAAACGGCGACAGGAAACGGCAACAAAACGGCTCCAGGATTGGAACCGGAGCCGGAACCGGTCAAACAACGGCGACGGAACCTGAAAAAAAACGGCGTCGGAACCGGCAAACAACCGGCAGAACGGAACCGATAAAAAAACGGCCCTGTCGTTTCCAGGGCCCACTAAGCTCCCAGGTCTGTCGGGAGTCCTGAGGCGGGGGTCAATGCAAACGGGGGTCAGCCAGAGCGCCGGGCTGGGTTTCTGATGGCAGTTTTCTCGTGGTCGGGCCTCCACTGTAGTTGAGAGCTGGACGCCGTGGCCAGCAGCTGCTGTCTTTCTTCCTTCCTCCACCCCGGTGACCAGCGCTACACGCAGCTTCGGGGCTCAAGAGACGGGGGTCAATGCAAACCGGGGTCAGCCAGGGCGCCAGATCTTGCAGGACCCTGCAGGGCCAGGGTCGCATTGACGCGGGCTTGGGTGCAGGATCCTGCGGGATCTTGCAGGACCCTTCGCATTGGCCGAGGTTTGGGTGCAGGATCTTGCAGGATCCCGCAGGATTTTGCAAGGCCTGGCTGACCCGGGTCTAGACTGACCCGGGTCAGAAGATCCCCGAGTTTGGGCGCGAAGCATCATCGCGGGGCGATCAACCCAGACGCCCTCGCGTGGCGGAAAGAATTACGGCGGGAGGTGTTTCCTTGGTGTCGGCTTCTGGAGGCCCTTCCCGGGCCTCGGGCCGTCAAAGAGCGAGCCGGGATGAGAAACCGGTCCTGGGGAGGGGTCCAGACCTCAGACCTCAGGGGGTCGACGTTGCAAAGAAAAGACGTCCGGGGTCTGGGAAGGGTGGGGGAAGGAAGTTGCTCTCTTCGGGCCCGAGAGTCAACAAGCCCAGGGTTCGCCACTGACTGGTTCCCCCTCGAAAGATAACGTAAACCCTTCCAAAACCGTTCCGACACCTTCAAACGGCCTCCCAGAACACTGCCGGAGGGTTTTCGGAGGGTTTCGGGAAGCGTTTTGAATGAAAACCAGTCCCCAGCGAACCTTGGACTTTCTAACCCTGAAGGCCCCCTCTATGGTCCCACAAGGCCCCATTAGGGGCCCCAAAGGGCTCTTTTTCTGCATCCCTCGCTGCCCCCCCATGTGCCGCCCCCCCATGAATTCTCTCCCAACAGAGTCGAGTGGGGGATCGACCATACATCCGGAACAAGGTGTAAGAACCCGCTGGCTTGGGGGAGGGTACTTAATGTCCTTCAGTTGTGTTGCATGTTCTTGTGCAGCCAGGGGGATGGTACCCTCGAATGTTCTTCAGTTTGACAGCTTTGTGCGTTCGTTCTGGTACGGCCGGAGTTCCTGGCCATTCGTTTCCGTGTTCTTCGGTTCCAATGTTAGTTTGTTTGGTTTTGTTCCCGGCAGAGGGGCTCGCGTTCGATCTAGAAGGACGTCGTTCTTCTGGCCTTGTTCCGGATGTAGAGCTGACTTGCTCCAAACTTGAGATGTCAGTCGAACATGCGATCCACCATACGTAAAATCTTCACAGATCTACGGGGCATGCTACGCAGCCTTCGTAGATCCGACGAGACTTTCAAATCTGGGGTTAATCTTAAGTCGGGCACGTCCCTTTATACAGGAGGAATATCCCAAAATAGTCTTAAAATAGCCTGGGAACGTTTTTTTGTGTGTATGTTCGACTATTTTTGAATATTTGTTGACTGTGTTGTTTTTTATCGTCCAACATCTCCCTGTAGGAGGACATGCCCGACCTAAGGTTAATCAGTTCTGTAGTCGATCTCCTACTCGACAGATGGGATCCGAGCAGGTGGGGTCGAAAGTCTTCGTCGGGTCTTCGAGATCAGAGGTTTTCAGCATTTTCTTCGCTTCCTGGTGCGTGTCCTGCCTCGGGACGCGTTCCAGCGCCTCGCAGAGAGTCTTAGGCGTACCTCGGGCGCTTGTGGGGGGATCTTGGAGCCATCTTGGGACGGAGGGCTCAAAATGTCAGCTCGTGTTCACCATCTTGGGCCCCTCTTGGGGTCGTCTTGGGGGCCTCCTGGGCTCCTATTGGTGGCTCTTGGGGCCGTTTCTGGGCGATTTTGAGCGCCTCCTGAGCCGTCTTGGACGCTCGGAAGACCAAAACGACGGTAATGTGGACGCCATGCAGAAACCATTGGATCTTGATGATGTGGGCCTCTTGGGCCGCCCTCCAGAGCCTCCAAGACGGCCCAAGAGGCGCCCGGGAGGGCTCCGGGACGGTCCCCCCCGGGCCATCGGAAGCCATGCTGGACGCGCATGTCCCGAACAGCGCGCTCCTGGCCTCTCGAGCGTCATCGCGTGCTTTCCTGGTGGTCCCCTGGATCGCGGTCGGCTCCTGCTGGATCCGGGGGTGGACAGGCCCCCTACCCGGAAACGTCGATGCAGGAATTGGCCGTTTTCGGTTCGCGAGAGGGCGTCGCTGCCGTCATTTCTGCGGACCCAGGTCCGTCGGTTTCGGTCCCAGGCCGTTTGCACTAAAGGGAGGTTTACTGAAGGGAGGGTTGTCCTCCGCCGATGGAGGTGTCTTTCGTTCCCCTTCGCCTCCTGTTCTGCGCGATCGCGTCTTTCAGGAGGAAAAGAAACACACAGACACAATTAATCCTCGATTCCCCAGAAGATATGGGAAAATATGGGAAGTGGGGGGGAAGACAGAAACCCAGAGAATATGGGAAAATATGGGGCATATTTTTATTTGTGTGTGTTTATGTGTGTGCCCTGGGGCCCCTTCAGTCTTCACCTGGGGAAGTCGAAGGGGGGCGCGCGGGCACCTCGGTTTTCCCGCCACGGGGGCGCAGCGGCGGGTCTTGCAGAGAGCGCCGCGCGTCGCCGCGCGCGGACCCCCTGGGAGCCCCCTAGGAGCGCGCGAGGGCACCGGGAGCTCGGGGCGGCTGGCCCCGCAAGACATGCAGCGGGGGCGCGCAGCAAGAAACCATATGCTTTTCGTCAGGGTACCCTGGGTTTCTTCGCTCCGCGCGCGGCGCGGCGACTTCCCGCGGCCGTTGAAGGAGCTGCTGCGTTCAGAGGGCTCCAGGTTTCCCCCCCGGTGCACTTCGCGCGCGGGTGTTCAGGGGTGGGTTTCTTGCGAGGGTTTCTTGCGGCCGCGCCCGCACTGTACAGAACTCAGCGCAACGAACTTGGAGGGATCTGAGGACACTCCAACTCGTGCCTCAAGCGGTGGCAGATGAGTAGTACTAGCATTATGTCTGTACGCGTATTGGAGTCAGCGTTAGCATTCGCATCCGCATTCGTATTCGCATTACCAGTCCTATGTATGAGCACCAGAGCTAGCATCCGTTTTTTCAATGAATGTCGTCGCATTCGTACTCGCATTACTAGTCGTAAGTATAAGCACCAGTGCTAGTATCAGTTGTTTGATAGTTATTCGTAGGGTGAGTTGTGTTGGTAGTACTTGACTGCCTACGAATAAGCACCAGTCTTACCCGCAATAAGAGTATTGGAGAGGCCTGACGGCCGGTGCCGCCGACCCTCATCGATAAGCACCAGTCTTACCCGCAATAAGAGTATTACTCTTAGTCGTTCGTGTTTGTTCTTCTTGTTTGTAAGTCGTAGCACTTGCAGCAGTCATAGGGCGAGGAGATGGACTGCCAGGACCGGTGGTAAGTTATTTAGCGACCTGCCGCATGTCCACAATGGCTCGCGGGGGCCGGTGTGCCCTCGAAGTCAGGACTCTTCGTCCACTAGCGTCCCGTCTTCCTCCCTCTCTCATGTACCCTTCTGTTTCTCGTTCCTTCCCCGTCGTCCTCCCCCTACCTTCTCTCCCATCCCTCCCATCCTGCTGCTGGCTCCTCCACCTCGACCTCCTCCTTCGATTTCACCTTGCTCTCCTGCGTAAGCTGTTATCACGAACAGCTTTGGGTGCATGGCTGACCCAGCAACCTCTTTACCAATCGAGGCATACCGGCACGGGCGGCAAGCGAACTACATGCTTGCTGCGTCGCCGAAGCAGAACCCTCGATCCCGATAGATGCTTGCGTAGATGTGCACACACTTACATCTACACATATATATATATATACACATCGACACACATATATATATTTATGTGTGTTTGTATGTGTGCATATACACATGCACGCACGCACGTACGCAAAGACGTATGTAAATACAGCATGCTGTGCCGCGCGCGGTCGGTGTCGTTGCGCGTTGTTGGTCGTCAGCCTGTCGCGGAGATCCAGCTGTGTTGCAAGAACCACCTCTTCGCTGTGGCAGCACTGGGCGCGTGGATGGGGGTTCCTGGCTCCCCTTCTAGGCCATCCCCAAGAGATGCACGAACCTCATCCTCCTCCTCCTCTCCTCCTCCTGTGCGCCTGGATGTTCTCTCTGTCCACGTGCGCGCGCGCGCGTCTTCGGCGCTGCCTCTCGGGGCCTCGCCTCGCGCCCCGCCAGGCATCGAGGGCCGCACCCCCGCGCGGGGATGCAGAATGAGGCGGACTCGCCAATGGCGGAGATGCGGGGGCCTCGGGGCACCGACGCGGGGGAGCGGAGAGCGAGGAAGAGGAGGAGGAGGAGGAGGAGGAGGAGGAGGAGGAGGAGGAGGAGGAGGGGCAGCAGCAGCATTAGGAGGTACCAGTATGACGAGGGGCAAGAGGGGGTCAGCGTGGCATGGAACTGTGGAGAACAACACAGAGTCTGAGGAAAAAACACATTGCGTCTGTGGAAAAACACACTCTGTGTATGTTTTTATGTGTGTGTGCTTTTCCCACAGACGGTGTACTTTTCCCACAGAGGTGCGACCAGCTCGGCACACCCGCGATGGAGGAACCAATCGGACACAGGAGGTCACAGCGGGACGTCGACCACGGCACCCGTCACTTGGAAGGGCCATGTATGCACAAACCACCACGCAACAGCCCGCATGTACAACATGGGTTTTCAGTCCCAGGAAGGTCTGGGGTACAGGAAAAAAACCGCCACGAATTGTTGCGAGCATTAATACCCAGGCGATCGCAAACATGGAGCAAGGGGGCGAGGATTAGCGACGGGTCCCGTTTCCATTGGACATCGCGGAGTTCCGCCGCCGAACGAGTCGGCACCGGCCGCATTGGCGACCGCGTGCCCAATCCATGGATCGCTAATCCATGCCTGCGCGCCCTCGAAATACGGAGTACTTGCAGGATTTGGCATTCGTTTGGCGCTGAGTCCGCAGAGGGCGGGGAAGCTTCGCGTGTCATGTAGCGGGCGTCGCGGCCGTAGTGGCCCGTGCCGCGCCCAGACACGGGCCTCTCGCTCTTCCTTCCAGGGAGGAGAAGCCCCCTGGACCCAATTCAACGGCTCTGGGCGTTTACTAAATTGCCCCGCCCTGCTCGATTCCTTCCATGGGTGCGTTTATTGAACGGCCTCGCGTGTGGGGGCGATTCTTATGGGGGAGGGGATTTTCTGATCTCTATTCCTCGCTCGAGTTCGGCCTCGGGACTCCTCGCGGTCGATCCAGAGACGGGAGTCCTCCCAGCCAGTCTTTTCTCATTCCACCGCGGTCTTGCCATGTGGAGCGGCGCGTGCGATGGCGTTATTTCCTCAGAGGGGTGAGGCCATGGACAGGCATCAGCAGGTTCGGCACATGGGCTGGCCTCGGCATGGACGCTTCCGAGGCTATTGAGAAAGTCGTGGGCCACCTGGGGAACAACACCCACAACAGCGCGCTTCTGCCAGCCGATGCGGTCGTTGCGGCGGGCTGGAACGCCAAACTCAATGGCGCAATGTTCTCACCGATTCAACTGGCGCGGCGAGGGTTTGCGTCGCGCTTAGAGCGCCTGTTCGCTCTCCCATCCAGAGGTGGCTCCGCAGAACGGGATGACTAAACACGTCGATGTGGACCAGTTCTTCTCGCGAGGCGGCAGCCAAGGATCAAATCTCGAACATAGCGGTAGTGTTGGACCAAGGTGGCGCATCGGAGACCCTTTTCGCGGATGACACCATGCACATCAAGTGGTGCCATAATTGGAATGCGCGCACTGACAGGAGGGAGGGAGGGAGGGAGGGAGGGAGGGAGGAGGGATGAGGAGGAGGAGGAGAGGAGAGGAGGAGGAGGAGGAGGAGCAGGAGCAGGAGGAGGAGGGGAGGAGGAGGAGGAGGAGAGGAGGAGGAGGATGGAGGATGGAGGATGGGATGGAGGATGAAGGATGGAGGATGGATGAGGGAGGATGGAGGAGGAGGAGGAGGAGGAGGAGGAGGAGGAGGAGGAGGAGGAGGAGCAGGAGGAGGAGGTGGAGGCACATGAGAAGGACACAATGCGGGCCCATCCTGTGTGCAAAAACAAGACGCGGGAGGGGGGGGGGGCGCGCGGCACTTTCGGGCCGGCTTCGGGAGAGAGAGGAGAGCAGTACCCCTCGGTTGTTGACAGTAGGTATTTTTGGACTCCCAGCTTCTAATCTTCTTTGAGCGCCTTCCTGCCTCAAGGATCGAGTGGCTTCCCCTCTTCCCTCCTCCCATACGTAGGGGCGGGCGGAGACCCAATCTGCTTGCAACGCCTTCCGACCGACGGGTAGTATTCGCATCGAGGAGTTGTAGGGACGGGGGGTTGAGGAGGGGCGAGTGGCCAGCCCGAGCCGAGGTTTGCCCTCTTCCCACACGAGTCGGCCGTGGTCATGCAGAGGGGCATCGAGCTGGGCATAGTGTGCAGCTCCTTGCTGGTGCGGCGGCCCGATCAGCTGCCGGGCCCCCCTCGATCTCCCCCCTCCCCTGCGAGCGTCCCCCGGACGTCGGTTCCCCGGCGGCGGTCCGACGCGGCCTGGACGAGGAGGAATCCGCCCAGAGCGTCTCGGAGCGCTCTCACAGCGTTCCGGAAGTCTCTGAGAAGGTCGCGGCGCCCGAGGCGTCCTCCAGAGCCGCGGGGCGTCAGAGTTTCTCAGCCTGTCCGTGCCCGATTGGTCCTCGGCCCAGCTCCGTCTTGGCCCGCCACGGCGGCGGCACCGCAGCGAGGGCCCCCGGGGCCTCTGCTCCCAGGCGGGGGGCACGGACAGGGCCCCGCCTCGCGCCTTCGCGCCTCCCGGCGCTGGGTGGGGCCCTTGCCGGGCGGCCCCGGGGCCGCCGAGCGCGGCTCGGGCCGAGGAGTCGCCGGGAGGGGAAGAGCACACACAGGCACAAGGGATCGTCGATCCCCAGGAGGATAGGGGGAACAATGGGAAGTGGGGGGGGGGGAGACAAAAGCCCCGATAGTAACTATTGGAACATATGGGGCACATGTGGTTTGTCTGTAGGGATTTATCTGTGTGTCCCAGGGCCCCTTCAAGTCGGCCCTCTTTCACGGACTGCTCGTGTGCACCGCACCGCGCCGGCGTCGCCCGTGGCGTCGTCGACCCTCGACGCTCTGACGGACCGGGCGCGGCCGGTTCTGGACCGTGCTGGGGATCTTGGGGCCCTCGCCGGGCCTCGGGGCCGTCAACATATAGCGAGGCATGGCCAAACGCCGGCCCCGAAGGAGAAGGGGCCCGGACCTCCAGGGCCCCCCCGCGGGTCGAAGGCAAAGGCAACGGTGCGGTGCGTGACTCGTGCAGCTCTCGGAGCCGAACAGCTTTGCACCGTACGGGTTCCGCGTTGCAGCGGGGCCTGAACGGCTCGGGGGTGGACAGAACCCCCAACAGTGACACGTCGATTAATTAGTGAATTGTCCGTTTTCGGTTTTCGAGACGGCGCCGTAGCCGTTATTTTCCAGGCTTGCGCCCGCCAGGTTTGGGCTTGAGGTCGTTTTCACCAAACCACGTTTTGCTAAAGGGGGTCTGTCCATCCCCGAACGGCGTCCAGGTATGGTACGGTGCAGGGGCGCCGTTCTCGTACCTTTCGGTCGGGCATGTCCCTCTACAGGAGGAATCTTCAAAGATGGTCAAACTCACAGTCTGGAGACGATTTTTCGACTATTTGCATGTCTTCTCGTTGATGTGTAATACTCTTTTTTCATTTGTCTTCCAAGATCCGCCTGTAGGGCGACATGCCCGACCTGATCGTACCTCGATCGAGAGAAGGTCCAGGCCTGCTGGGGCCAGAGGCTCGAAGGGAGTGAGCCGTCGGGGGTCGGGGCGCACCAGACTCGCTCCGTCCTCCCGCTCCCTTCCCACCTCCTCGGAGCACTCATCCCTCCTCCTGTGTCTCCTCCCTCCCCCCTTCACCCCGACCTCTCTCCTCACCTCTCGAAGAACAAGACTCAGGAGGGAAAACAACACACAGACACAATTCATTTTCGATTCCCCAGAAAATATGGGGAAATATGGGAAGTGGGGGGGGGAGGACAAAAACACAGAAAATATAGGAAAATGTGGGACATCCTCTTATTTGTTTGTATTTATTTGTGTGTCCCAGGGCCCCTTCACAGGCATAGCATAAACGTCAACTTTCGACGGTCCATGCAGATTTCTCGGATCTGCTCCAGACACCCACTGGCAGCGCTTCCCGCGCCCTCCTTGGCGGGGCCCAGCGGGGTCCAAGAAATTCGAGCGGACCGTCAAAAGTTTGTTTGTGCAGTTTTTGATTCCTCCAATCGTAAGTCGGGCATGTCCCTCTACAGGAGGAGCCTTCAAACATAGCCAAAAATAGTACAGGGACGACTTTTCCATGACGTTTGACTAGTTTTGAGTGTTTGTGTTGACTCTGCTTCACTGTTCTTCCGAGATCCGCCTGTAGCAGGACATGCCCGACCTGACTCAAATCCCGCCCGCCCCTTCCCTCAGGCCTGCCGCCGCCGTTTGGTGGCCGAGCGGCAGGCCTGGCGACCGCTCGCCCGGGCAGCTGCCCTGGCCCTATCCCTTCCCTCGCCTCCGGGGACAGCGCCAGTATGAAGAATGGCACACTGCCGATTCACCGTCGGCGCATCGCAGACTCCAAGTCTCGCAGAAGGAAACACGGCATAAACGTAAGCTTGTGGCCCTCCGCGCGGACTTCTTGGATCCGCGCTGGGCCTCCTGGGCGGCGCCTCTGGCGCCGCCCCTGGCGCGCTCCGCGCGCCAGGGAGGGGGGCCCAGCGCAGATCCAAGAAATCCGCGCGGAGCGCCCGAAGTTTATGTTTGTGCCGCTTTTTCTTCTAAAGTCATGGTCTCCTCGCGGAGCCAGCCCCCCCTCTCGGCCCCCCCCCCGCCTCGCCCCTGCCGCCCACCCTCGCGCCGGCCCTCGGGCCAGCCACAGCGGGTGGTGGGCGGAGGGGGCGCGAGAGGAGACGGGGAGGAGAGGGCGAGGAGAGGGAGAGGGAGAGGGAGAGGGCGAGGGAGGGGAGAGGGAGGGGGGGGTGGAGAGGAGGGGTAGAGGAGGGGAGAGGAGAGAGGGAGAGGATGGGGAGGGGAGGAGGCACCCTCTGCGTGTCTCCGCCAGGTTGTCCACTGCATGTACCTCGTCCTGCAGTTCTGGCCCAACGAGAGGCCGCCCCCGGCGCCCGCCCGCGGGGGATGCCCCGGGCGGGCGAGCTCGCAAGCGTGCAGGTTCAGGAGCGAAACCGCATGCGGTAGGTTCGCGTCGTGTCGACCGTCGGCGACCCCGCCAGCGGCGCTCCACGTTGAACGCCGCGGGCGGCCCAGAATCGTTCGATGTGGAACGATTCGGGCGTTTCGGGAACGGCCGACCTTTCAGAGCAGAACGGTCCCCGCGGTGTGTCGGAAGCCAGCGCCGAAGTCGGCACGACACGAGCCCGACGGCGCGCACGCGCGCACGAAGGCGCCTGGGCTCGGGCGACGACGTCTGCGTGCCCGCTGCCTCCCTGGCCAGGCCCATCCCGAGCCCAGGAGCCGTGCACGCGCCTCCTGGCCAGGCCAGGAAGGCGTGGCCTAATCAGGAGGGAAAGAAACACACAGAAAATATAGAAAAATATTGGGAATCCTGTTATGTGTGTCTATGTATTTGTGTGTCCTAGGGCTCCTTCACCTGTGCACCGCTGCCGGGTGCAGGGGTGCAGGGGTGCAGCCTGGCCTGCAGGGAGCAGCGGACACGCCCGGGCTCCGTCGCACGCTTGGGGTGGCGAGGGAGCGCGGGCACGAGCGTGCGTGGCACCTTCCTTCCCCTCCTCCCCCTCCTCCCCCCTCCTCCTCCTCCTCCTCCTCCTCCTCCTCCCTCCTCCTCCTCCTCCTCCTCTCTCCTCCTCCCCCCCTCCTCCCCTCCTCCTCCCCCTCCTCCTCCCCCTCCTCCTCCTCCTCCTCTCTCTCCTCCTCCTCCTCCTCCTCCTCCTCCTCCTCCATCCCTTTTCCTTATAGATAACTTCTCCCCGTCGCACCCCGAAGCCAGTTTTTCGGGCCGTGCGTTTCGCGAGCCGGGGGCGTGCTCGCGCGCGCGGCCGGGCGCGCGCGCGTGCCTCTTCGGCTCCGCGGCCCGCGGCCGGGGCTCCGGGCCGCGCCGGGCTCCGAGAGAGCGGCCGTTCTCGCGCGGCCGGGTCCCGCTTCTGTGCAGCACTGGGCGCGCTCGGTGGCCAAGTTGGGCGGCACCGGCCTCGTGTTTCGGGTCGGGCGAAAGGGGGGGTTTGGGAAGGGGGGGTTACGAAATCTGCTGCATGTACTGGTTTCAGCCCCTCCGAGGGGCCCATTTCTTGACACATGGCCGCCTCCAGCGCCGGGAGGCGTGAGCTGATTCTCACCCCCTCTTTTGCTCGGCCCGAGTGTCTCGGACCCGAGCCGTGGATTCCTCTCGCTTCGCGGGGATTGCGTCCTGCATGTGCAGAAGAGTTGCGCTTGGGGCTCGCCTGGAAGCCTTCTGGAGGCCTCTTGGGGGACATCTTGGGGCTGGTGGGGGCCCTGTGGGGGCGCCTTTGGGACTGCTTCGGTCGTCTGCTTCGGTCGTATTCGGGCGCTTTGAGGATGCCTGGTGCCCTCGGAGGCCGTCTTGGGATCGGGGGCCTCTCCTGGGCCGTCTTGGGGCCTTCGAGGGCCGCCTTGGGGATCTTTTGGACCGTCTTGGGGCCACCTCGGGGTCCTCCTGGGCCGTGTTGGGGCCCTCGTGGGGGCTTCTTGGGCCGTCTCGGGGTCATCTCGGAGGTCTCTGGGGCTATCGCGGGGTGTCCGAAGCCCGGGAAGTCGTGTCCGAAGCCCGGGATGGCGAGAACGCTAACGCTTGTTCAAAAGCGATGGAACGCCACATGTTTTGCCTCTGGGGACACTCTTTGGAATCTTGAGGACCCTTTTTGGGGCTGGTTTGGGGCCCTCTTGGGCCGTGTCGGGGCCTTCTTGTGCCGCCGTACAGCCATCTTGAGCCATCTTGAGACCCTCCAGGGCCGTCTCGAGGCCCTCTTCGACCTTCCAGAAGCGCCAGAGGCATAACGTACTGGTTTGTCTTCGGGTACACCAACTTTCTGGTCGGTGGGTGGAGCGTGTCTCCAGGGGTGGGGTTAGGGCGGTTGCACGGTAACACAATACACAACATCATGTGGCATGTAACTCGAAGCACGACCTGTACACACTGGATCTGTTACACCACAGCCTTCGCGGACCTGCCTCCAGCAACACGTTCCTTCCAGACGTGGATCTCGCGCCCACGCGTCAGATCCGCAGATCCTTCATCCATGGTAGCGTGTGCCCGAGTGCAGGGGCGACGGCTTGCGGGAAGAGCGAGGGGGGTCCGCTCACGGTACTCTTAGGTTACCGATAGGGGCGCGCAGACAGGTTCCGTCTCGCGCGTCGTTGGCTGTGCCAGAGAGTTGCCGTTCTCCGGGGCTGCATCGCGAGGGCGCAGCGATAGCCTCGCGTCACGCATCGAGGGGCGCGGTGCGCGAAGCCTGGTGGCCCAGGTACCACAGTCAACCCGCATGGTAAAGGATGGGCAACATTCCCAAGGATACCCTTGCATCCTTGCCCCTTCGGCCCATCCTTATCGACTTTCGCTGGCCAACCTCGTGCGGCAAACGTTAACATGGGCTTCCAAGGCCCTTGCGCCCTCACCGCGCCTCCTCCTTATGCGGGTTGACTGCAGAGGGACGCGCGGGTTGGATCCGTGGGTTGCTTAGGGGGGGCGTCAGGTGGCCACCTCACCGATACCTGCCGGCCCCGGAAACGGCAGGGCATTTTTTTCACCGCTTCCGAAAATGTGAAACGGCAAAAAACGGCGACCGGCAACGTCAAAAACACGGCTCCAGGATTGGACCTGGCGCCGGAACCGGTCAAAAAACGGCGACGGAACCGGTAAAAAAGCGGCGTCGGAACCGGCAAAAAACGGCAAAGCGGAACCGGTAAAAAAACGGCCCTGTCGTTTCCAGGGCTATAGGGCCCAAGTCTGGGCGCAGGGGCTCGGTCCGAGGCGAGGGGCGCCGCGGGGCTCCCCGCGCGCTGCTCCCCGGGGGAGCGTGTGCGTGCACTCGTTGGGCCCCGTGCCCGCGGGCCAGGGCTGCGGCAGCTGGCCTCTGGCCGCTGCGGGTGCCCCGCCGGGTGCCCCCGCGCGGCGCGAGCGCGCCGGGTGCCCGTCCCGCCTCCCGCGGCCGCCCCGCTTCCAGCAGTGGCTTGGCATCGCTCGGACGTGTGCATGTTTTCCTCGGTGGGGACGCGGCCGCCCCTCTTCGAGCAGTGGCGAAGCGCCCTGGCTCGCCTATAGCCCTAGCAAGCAATGTTCTAAGAACCTTTCGTGGTTTCCACGGAATGTTCTCAGAACAGTTCTGGTTGAGATGGTCTTGTTTTAACACATCGGGCTTCCGTTCTGAGAACATTTATTTTTGTTATCAGAACATCTTTGGGTTCTAAGAACATGTCGTGGTAGGACTATAGGACTGCCGGGACGGTCGGTCCCTGCTCAACCTCTTCCCTCTGCTTTTCCGGGAGACCACTACGGAGCGCGAGTACATGTGCGAGGTGACGCGGAGGGGGCAGCACAGAGAGATCCGCGGTTGCCGAGGCCTCTCCCTGTGCCGAACGCGCCCGAGCGGAAGGTTGACCCCAACAGAAGCGGTCGAGGAAGAAGGAGGAGCAGGCCAATCAGGTCAGGAGGGAAGCGGAGCTGGCCAGCGAGTCACCTGAGCATCCCCCCCTTCAAGGACCGAGGCTGGGCCAGCTCAAGGTCAGTTGCATCCAGGCACTTCGCAAGGCCGCCACCCGGCTTACGGAGCGCGCGTGCGGACTGCCTCTGCCGCGCGGCGACAGGGCAACGTGTGCACTCGTGGTGTGCGCTGGCTGCCAGTTGCGGGGTGAGCCTCCAGGTGCTTCCACTCGGTCCCCCCCCGTCTGGGCCGGGAGGAGGCAAAGGAACATGAGGAAGGAGGTCGAAGAAGAAGGGAGGACTAGAGCTCCTCCAATCCTGATCGTTGCAGTTTTGGGAGACGCTCCAGCGACGCAGCAAAAACGGGTGCGCCTTCGCGGACACTGGCGCATAAGGTCGCGCGCAAGCGCCCGTAGATCGCAGCAGTGCGCGAGCGATGCACAGTCGGCCCGGATTGGTATTTCGACCCTGCCACACCAAAGGCATCTTTGTGTCCTGTGTCTCGCGACCCGTGCCTCCTGCATTCCCCTTGGCGATGTGGCCCTCGGAAGGGTCTGTTGTTTTTTCGCGTGTCCTGCCCAGTGAAGTCCGACTGTTCGATCGAGACGCGGTGGCAGTCGCTCTGCACGAACGAGATGGGCACGGAAAGAATGGGCACAATGCCCAACAGCGGATCTGGTCCCTTTGAACAGGACTCGCTGCCCACGCCGCCGCGGCCCGTGTCCCTTCACGACAGAAGGCCGCCTGCCCAGCAGCGGCCGCTGTTGGTTTGGGATAACATTTGCTGTTGGGCATTGCACCCATTCTTTCCGTACAGTGGGGGCGCGTACCAAGAAACCAGCTGGATTCTGCCAGGGTGCCCTGGGTTTCTTGGATTTCGATGGGCCCCCAGTAAGATCTTGACGATTCTCGATTGACGAATTTGGATTTTCATTGAACAAACCGCGGAGTTCAGGGTTGGGTTTCTTGTGGAGGTTCCTTGCGGCCGAGCCCCCACTGTACCCATTTCGGGCGTCCAGAGCCGCGGCACGGGCTCCCGCGCCGGCGAGGCGCCAGAGGCACCGCTGCTGCTGCGCGCCGCCCTCGGGCGGCGCGCGCGCCTCCCGCCTCTCGCCTCCTTCGGGGGAAGGCCCGCCTCCCGCCCATGCCACGGAGCTCGCCGGACCTCTGCCTGGCGTATTTTTTGTGTTCTCCGCCGCGCCCCGCCCTGCCTCTCCACGTTGCCACATCCCCTTTTCCTCCCCATCCCCCTTCCTTCCCCTCCTGCCCCTCGCGTTTCCCCTCCTCCCCGCCTCTCTCCCACCCGCTCGCGCTCCCCTCTCATGCCGTCCCTTTCTGCCATTCCCCTCCCCATGCTCCCCATCCGCCAGCCCCTCATGTTCCACCCGTCGCTCCCTTCTCCCATCCCCCTCCCCGCCCCTCCTCCTACCCTGCCGTCCTCCCCCCCCCTCTCTCCTCTCGCACAAGTCGGACTTCCCCGAGCCTTCAGCCACGAGTGCCTCCGACAGGCTCTCCGACCGGATGCTCTGCTGCCTCTGCATCGCGCGCGTCGTGTGCGCCGTGCCCAGGCCGCCGCGGGGCCCCCTTACCCCCAGCGCTCTTTCCGCGCTTCCCTGCAGGACGCGTTGCTGTTCATGCTGCTGCTGCTGCTGCTGCTGCTGCTCCAGCCCTCGTCCGAAGAAGCTCGGTCGGCCAGTCTGGGCTCTTCTCCTCCCGCGACGCCCTCGCATCCAACAGCCACACGGACGAAGGGCGGCTCGCTTCTAAGATGTGTCTCTCGCCTGATTCGCCGCGCACGTTCGTAGTGGTTCTGGTCGCAGTGTTGCCCAACAGTTAGATGGTACAGGGAGGGTTGCATGCACGATAGGCTTACCCCATGAACCCAGCGTAATTTCATCGTACATGCTTCTGGCAGTCAATGAAACAA